CAACAAGTACCCCCCTTAATGTTCCATCCACGTGGTTGCAAATGGCAAGATTTCATTCTTTCTGATCACCGAGTAATATTCCATTATATTAATATTCCATTTTATATATATATGTATATATATACACACATATATATTATACATGCATACGCCACATGTTCTTTATCCATTCATCAGTTGATGAATTGGGACATTTGGGCTTCACATTGTTGTACAACTATCTGCAACACCCATCCCCAGAACTTTTTTGCTCTTCCAAAACTAAAGTTTTGTACCCATTAAACAATAATTCCTCATTCCTCCCTACACCATCACCTGGCACCTACCATTCTGTCTCTATTAATTTTACCACTCCAGGAACATAGAAGTACATGTTTGTGACATATAAGTGACAGTAATACAGTTTTATGACTGGCTTATTTCGCTTAGCATAATGTCTTCAGCATCACAGTGTGTGTCAGACTTTCCTTTTTTAAACCTGAATAATATTCCATTGTATGTATATATACCCCATTTGATTTATCCAGGGAGATAATTGCTTCCACGTTTTGGTTATTGTGAATAAAGCTGCTATGAACATAGGTGTACAGTATCTGCCTTAGTCTTTCCTTTCAGTTCATTTTGGTATACACCCACAAGTGACATTGCTGGATCATATACTAATTCCATGTTTAATTTTCTGAGGTATTCTATACTGTATTTTATAGTAGCTGCATCCTTTCACATTCCCACCAGCACCGCACATGGTTCCAAATTCTCTGCATCCTCCCCAACACTTGTTATATTCTGTTTTGTTTGTTGTTGTTTTTATAACACCCATCCTAATGGGTGTGAAGTGACATCTACTTGTGGTTTTGATTTGCATTTCTCTCAAAATTAGTGGGGCTGAACATCTTTTCATGTGCTTTTATCTTTATCTGTTCTGGATATTAATCCCTTATCCAATATATGATACAAATATTTTCTCCCAGGAGTTGCCTTTTCATTTTATTGATAATGTCCTTTGTACAGAAGTTTTTAATTCTAGTGTAGTCCAATTTATCTGTTTTCATTTTCTGGCCTTGCTTTTAGGGTTATATCTAAGAAGTCATTGCCAATAGACTTTGCTAAATTCTATAAAGTCTGCATGCTTTGACATGTGTGACCACTTAAATCTCTACTCAGCTTAGTGGTCAGCTAACAGGTAGAGAGACATTACCTTAAATGGCAGGACCAGTAAGTCTTCCCTTAACAAATGGCTCTGTGTATGTTGGGGCACCCCTTCATTGCTCAGCCAGGCAGTAGAAAACTACGCGTTAGCTTTAACTTTCTGATTTCACAGAGACTGAAAGCCAGAGGAGAGAGCATAGGGCCCTCTCAGATATTTTCTAAGCATACGTACAACCCTACAAAGGCACATGGCACCCTACAAAGAAATAGGTCAAAGCTTTTCAGAGTCTCTGTGGGGACATCTCATTCCCAAGCTTTCTCTTGGAAGCTTTTCGTTAGCTTGTTCCTTGCCCCAACGGCTTTCCAGTGCTCCAGACAGCCACAGAGTTAAACAATTCCTCTAAATGCTTTTGAAAAACACTCCCAGGGAAAAGATATTTTGCATCGGAGGAGCTGCACATTAGGTAAAATAAAGACAGCTTTGCAATTGGTGTCTTCCAGGGAATACCAGGCAGGTCAAATAATAATAATTCACTGGAAATGATGCTTTAGAGAAACTCCACTCCCATTCTGCTCCTCCATATGGCTTTCTGGCTTCTTGTTTTACTGTAATTATGGGTTGGTGTTTTGTAGGGCTACCTCAGAGCTGAAAAGACAGATGTGGGAATAGGGCAAAGTAAAGTTCCATGAAGCTCACTGCCCTTATGAAGATTCAGCTATTTTTCTTAAATAAATGCCCCCCAGATTGCTGCAAGCATTTTGTTAATTTCCGTAGTCCTGAAAAACTTCATTCTGACATTTTTTTCTCCAGTTTTCTTATTGCTTTTATAGGAGAGAAAATTCTGGGAGGCCATTATTCCACTGTTTCTGCTGTCTCCTAAATCTCCAATCTTGAGTATACAACTTTTTAGCAATCTGTAGAATATGTAGAAGAACAATTCTGCTCCATACTAAAGGAAAGTATTTACCTCAAAGAAAAGCACTTGTACAGTTGTCTCAATTACACACTGAACTGACTGCTCTTTTTGTAGAACGCCATCTTTACTTAACAGACTAGCAGTATTATACACACATGAGTATTCAACTGATATTGTTTTTTATTAATTTTTTAAAATGTTTATTCATTTTTGAGAGACGGAACACAAGCAGGGGGTGGGGGCAGAGAGAGAGAGGGAGATACAGAATCTGAAGCAGGCTCCAGGCTCTGAGCTGTCATCACAGAGCCTGAGAAGGGGCTCAAACTGACAAACTGCAAGATCATGACCTGGGTTGAAGTTGGATGCTCCGCCAACTGAGTCACCCAGGTGCCCCTCGGCAGATATTTTCTTAAACATGAATGAATCAAGCCTCACATTTCAAGAACTACAGACAGAAGTCAATGCCAAGTCTCAAACTTTCAAGCAAAAATAAAAATTAGGGAAAACTTCTATCTACCACTATGTGTTTGACAGCTTCCCAATACTTATACTTTTCTGGTAAGATTTGTGATGATGTTAACAAATGTCATTATGTGATATGAATAATGAAATGTGTCAGAATTTGGAATATCTGTATAAGTCCATGAACCATTATTTTCTAAATAATCAATGGGCAGTGTTAACACTATCATGGGTAGATAAAAGATTTTCACCGTTCAAGTTAGACCAATAGATTTTAATATAAAAAGCACAAAATATTCATAGACTTTATTTCAGATTTCAGATTTCAACTAACCCTTAAGAAATTATCATTTGTCCAGTTTTGGTATAGTATCAAAGAATATCCACAATTATCCGAAATGGTTACTAAAATAATCCTATTTTCAACTGCATATCTCTGCAAGGCCAGATTTTCTTCATATATTTCAACTAAAATAACATATCATAACAGATTCAATATTGAAGGAAATAAGACTATCTAGCTATCTTCTATCAGCCCAGACATTAAAGATATATATAAACATATAAAACAGTGCCATTCTTGTCACATTTGTTTGTTTTGGAAAATATAATTATTTTTCATTAAAATATTTGTATTAACATATAATGAGTTGAGGTGTAGCTCGGTTGGTTAAGCTCTGACTCTAGCTTTCAGCTGAGGTCATGATCTCACAACTCTGCACTGACAGAGCAGAGCCTGCTTGGGATTTTCAATCTGCCTCTCTCTCTCTCTCTGCCCCTCCCCTGCCTGTGCTCACTTTCTCTCAAAATAAATAAATAAACTTAAAAAAAAAAAGTATAATGGATTATTTTAAAGAAATAACAAATTTGTGTTTTAATTTCTACTGGGGTAAATATCAAAAGTTATAACTCATGTGAATAAAAGTTCTTTAAGGCCCTTAATAATATGTAAAAGTGCAAAAAGGTCTGAACTGAAAAATTTGAGAACTGCTTATGCTAGGCTTTCTAAGATTAAAGCCCTAGTAACAAACCAACTGGAAAATATAAAGATGGCTATTATTTAGTACTTAATTGACCATGTTTAGTGCAAATATTTTGGACACGTGACTCATGTCCAAAATATGTTCATTCATCATGTTCATCTGGCATGATGGTCAGAATTAGTTAATCTGTGTAGAACCTTTTAGGCTGACCCTTTCTGCTTTTTGAATAGGCCATGCTTCTCTATCTCTTAGCTTTTGTGCAAGGCTGTTACTCTGCCTGGAAAGCTCTCTCACCCCTTCTTCTAACAATTCTTATTTATCTTCAGATCTCAGATCAAATGTCCCTATCTCAGGGAAACCTTCCCTCATCTACTTCCAAAGTTCTCATCCTCCAGATTTCATTGAAACCCCCTAATTTCTTTCATGGGTCCAAGCACTTGTTTTCTTTCATAGCATACATCACAATTTGAATTATGTAGTTTTAAGATTTTATTAGTGCCTTTCTCTCCCTTAAACTTCAGCTACACAAGGGCAGTTTCCTTTTTAGCTTACCAGTTTATCTTCAATATGTATCAGTGTTTGGCAGTATATATGTACAAAATGAGTCAATTATTTTCCAATATGAAAAACACATGTTGAGGCAAGGAAGAGTGCATTTTATTGATTGTCCCATCATTTTAAATAGTTTTTCAAATTACTAGCCTTGAGTTATGAGAGATCTGTTGAAAACAGTTTTGATTGTATGGCCCTCCAAGTAAAAAGATATCTTAGGAGCACAATCATTCTGAAAGAAATTAGATTGCTTGATTTGTTTACACAGATGCCATTTCACAGAGCTTTCTCCCAACCCATGCTTCTGAGTCCAAGCTTTTTAAAAATAAAATACAAAAAGACTTTTACTAATGGTTATGCTGAGCCTTTCTCTAAAAATAGCTTTTATTAAATGCAGGAGGAGATTGGATTCATGCTGTATTATTTCTTTTGGGACTAATGGTGCATTTTCCAACTTCAGAAATTGTTTTTAAGACCGCAGAAGTATCAGATTAAACGAATGTGATGACTACCTCAGGACAGTAGTATTTTATTATATTTTCCTTCCAAGAATGTAACTGTTATAAATTACTACAGTTATTTATTCTTCCCTTTACAATTTATTAACTGAGGAGGTCATATTTCATTCTTCTTCCATTTGGGTAACTTGTGTGTGTGTTTTCATGCAGCAGTGACAAATAGTTTTTCATTTGAGGGCTCTAGACTTTGGTCCTGTTTTAATTAGGAGACTTTCGAGATTTGGATGAAGGCAGCATATTGTCCTTTCAGATATCCAGGCAAAATTTGCAGCATCTGTCTAACCATAAGAGTTACAAACCCCCTTCAGATAATAAGTCTACTATACTTTAATAGCACTGCTTTCAGAATTTACAGCCTTTACTTTAGAGCACTCAGTGTTGATGTTACTGCTAATCTCAAATGGTTTTGTTTTACACAGAAACAAATGGATATCAATGCTGCTATTCAAGCCTTGATTGAATCACATACTGCCCTGCAGATGGAGGTAATATATCTGGCTTTATTTACATTGGCACCCTCAATATACAAATTAAACCAAAGTTTTTTCAGGGTCCAAAAAGTGGCTTTATCTCAAAGATTGTATTTAAAACAGATTGAACGTAATGAAACTACTTTTAAGGACAAAGTAAGCATTTTTAATAAATAGAAATACATGCATGAGATGTTTTTTAAGGAAAACATTTTTAAAAGGTGTAATGTCATTTAAGGAATTTTTTAATAAGGAATTAGGTACCGTAGAAGAAAGTTTAATGAAGTTAGCCATTTCTTAAAATGGGATCTATCACTGTTACTCATTTTTCTTCTTTAAACTCTATTCAGTGTATAATTTCTTTAAAAACAATATACTCCAGTGGCATAACAATGGTTGAGTTTTATGTTAGCTTGGAAACTAGGCCTCTAGAGTGAATTTAATCTCTTATTTAGGATCAGGTTTAATAAAAAATACATATATGCCTATATTTAAATATAAACTGTTCTTTACATCCTACCCCCAACTCATTGCACACAGCAAAATTATGTTTTTCTTCTGCCTTGGTCCATGTTGATTATGAGGATTACATACTGCTGCTGGCTACTCTGCATTTTTGCTAATCTGATTCCTGTGATGACTTGGCAGAGCTACCAGAATACTGAAGTGACTTTAATTGACTATGGCGCAGAGATATTCAAAACCCTGAACTACCTTAGCAATTTACTGCACAGCATCAAGAATCCTCTTGGCACACGAGATAACCCAGCACGAATCTGCAAAGATTTGCTTAACTGTGAACACAAAGTATCAGATGGTAAGCTCTTGGTTTTCTCAAACTCTGATGTCTAATTTCATCATTGCAATGTGTTTGAGGTTAATACTATATTCATTTTGAATCTTAATCATTTCGATACAACTCTTATAGAAGGCATTTTAATGTTATCATATAGTCTTGGAGGGAGACATGATTCTGAAGTCAGACTATCCTTTTCTGAAGATTCATATTGTAAATGTCTTCTTCTACACAGCCTTACTGATCCCCAACTTTCCTACTCCACCCTGATTATAGCACTTGCTTACACTTTGTGCTTGGAACATATCATATTCATATTAAAAATTAAAATAGGAAGGATTGACCTTTGGGCTAAAGGAGTACCTGTCAGGTCCACCAAAAGTGACAAGATGAAAAAAATATATATGGGAGAGCCCCCACCAGCACAGCTCCTAAAATGATGGCTTTTACACAGAATGGAATTTAAATGTATCACTGCAGAGTCAGTGAGTAGGAAGATGGTTTGGTATTCTTGGAATTTTTTCATTCCTACACTAATAGCCCCAAATTCATTAACCAGAGGTACAAAAATTAATTTAGAGTAGACCCATCAAGGAAAAGTTTTAAAGCAAGTAGAACAGTTCTAATTGTCGAATGATAGATAAGGGAACCCTTTCAGCTGCAATATATCATTTAATTTTAATTTCTATTGGGTCTGTGGTCAGATGTACAATCAATATTAGTAGTTATAATTTTTTGCTAAAAACTTATATGTAGCAATGACACATGCTGATTTGAAAAAAGCATGTTATGTTCTTCTATATGGCAAATAATAGTCCATATTTTATTTAAATTATATATACATACATACACATCATATAACACAAACAGACTCTTGTCCAAAAACATAAGCTTCTATTCTATAAGTGCAATGAAAATGTTCATTTTATTTATATTAATAAAATGCTTAACTTCTATAGATATTTCCTGCCCTAAATTACCACAAAAAACTAAACTAATATAGACAGTTACAGCCGTCTATAGTCATTCTGTTTGATTCTTTCCCATGTTTGATGGCATAAACATGAAATTCTATCGAATTGAAAGTAACAGAGACATTTTAAGACATACAAATGACTGAAATCTAATTCAATGTCTGCCTTCTTTGTAAGAAAAAGAGCTAAGTGGTATGAATTGCAAGATATCAGAAAGGTTTAAATACCCAACAATATTTTCATCACTAGGAGACAGCAAATGCTATAGAAAAACACAAAACAGCAGAGAACAGGGATATGATAGAAAGCGGAGTAGGGTTAAGTTTCAAATACAGTAATTAGATAAGGCATCTCTGAGAACATGACATTTGAGCAATGTCAGAAGGAGGTAGGATACAAGCTACAGGAAATCTAGGGAAAGAGCTTTATAGCCAGAAAGAACAAATACAAAGGCCCTGGGCCTGGGTATATGTAGTATGTTCTAGGATTAATAAGAAGGCCAGGGTGACTAGAAGAGAGTTCATAAAGGGGAAGTGGTAGAAAATGAAGTCAGAAAGATATCCAAAACACCAGGTTATAATAAGATCTTACAGACTACTCAGAAGACTCCAGCTTTTATTTTGAATATGGTGGGAAACCATTATAAGTTTTGCAGCAAAGAAATGATATGATTTGACTTAGATTTTTGAAATATTACTATGGCTAATGTAGTGCAAATATAATGAAGACAACAAGAAGCCAATGAGAAGGCCACTGAAAAAATCCAGGTAAGAGATGACAGTGAGTTGGAGTAGAGTTAGTAGCAGAATAAATGATAAGAAATGATCAGGTCTTTGGCTGTGTTTTAGGGTAGAGCCAGCAGTTTTTGATGATAATTTGGATGTTATGAGACATAATTTGGGTTATGAGAGAAATAGAATGATAGAAGAGGACTCTAAGGTTTTTGACTAATGGATGGAAGTGTGGGGTTGCTGTAAGAGAGATGGAGAAGCAAGTTTTGGAGGAAAGGTCAGGAATTTAGTTTTAGATATTTTTCTTTTGAGATGTCTGTTAAGTGTAAAGTAAGAATGTCAAGGAGGTAAGTGAGGTAGCCTTAGAGAAAGGTTCTGTACAGGGGTAAAAATTATGAATTCATTTTCATATAAATAGTGTCTGTTTATTTGTGGACTGCTGAAGACCACCTAAAGAGTAGATAGAGAAAGAAAAGCTTAAGAGGTCTATACTCTATGCCTTCGGGCTCTTCAGTGTTTAAAGATCAGGGAAATGAGGAGGAACTAGCAAAGAAAACTAGGAAGAACCTATCCCTGGTCGAAAGAAAACTAGGTGAACGCCTGAGGAAGGGATCCACTGGGTTCCTGTCAAGTAAAGTTAAGACTGAGAAAAACTACTGAATTTAGTAGCATGAAGCTCTGTGATGACCTTCACAAGAGCGGTTTAGAGGAATAGTAGTGGTTCAAACTTCATCAGATTTTAAGAGAAAATTATAGAGCCAGAGAGTTTCCATTTCCAGTAATGAAACAGTTAATTCAAATTGCCTGACTAAATATCTTTGAAAAATTGTTTTCAACTTAAAAGCATCAAATAACTAACAAAATAGTGAGGAGATTTTAAGCCAACATTTTGAAGAAGACAACAAAGAGACGAACACACTTAGAACTGCTTTTGCCCTGGTTGTTTTCTAAATATAGCTCCTGGAGGCTTCGTGGGGCTGGGCCAAAGTTGGAATCTGTGGCCCATCAAATGTGAGGATTTAGGCTTTCAAAGGGCTCCATTCTAAAAGTAAACATACACTGGAAGAGATAGACTATAACCTAGCTTCACATCACGAAGATAGCTCAGAATCTTAAGCTTTGAACTTGAACTAAGATGATTCCTGACTGCTAGTATCGCCACCCCATATCTACCAGAAACAAAAGTCTGATATACTATCATCCTCGGGCTCAAATTATTTCCACAAATCATTTCTCAAATGTAGTGCCCAGCACACAGTCAATGATAATGAGGCATACCGGTTGATAAAACACCATGAATGAGAACTGGCAGAAATAGCAAGCAGAATTACACTCAAAGGAAAAATTAACAGAGGAAGAATTTGAAACTGAAGTTATAATAGACAAGCCTTCCATAGGAACACAGTCAATTCATAATAATCAGAAGGGAGGCAGAATATATGTGTGCAAGCACAGATAGGTAAGGAGATATGGTAGTAGGTGGTTCTGTAATCTCCATTCACATTGCTTCAGTTGTCTCAGTGACATTGAAAGGTTATCACTCAAGAATAGAGGTGAAGGGTTGGATATAGTAAAGGTGAAAGGAGAAGAAAAGGTTTCAAACAGTAGCTAGGAGAGTGACAGAGGTAACTAACTAGGGAAACATAGTGTTGTTGTCTGGCAGTCTTACGAATATTTGACTGTGAAGTGAGTCCAGTCCGCATAATTGTATTTTTCTTCAGCCACATTTAGCTGTGCAGGTACAGGCGCAAGATTGGACTTCTATGAGGTTGGGATTTTATAAGGCAAGCACAATGAATTGAGGTAAGACAGGGATGTTAAGGAAGTCTCCAAGGAAGTAATTATAGTAAAGGTCTGTGGTCTGTGGGTTTTACTTGGGTAGGAAGGGAATCAGACACATGATTATGAGAAATGATGAAAAAATGTTATAAATGGATTGTTGGTCCTGATAGGATGGAAGAATGATTGGAGTCAGGACAATAGAGAATGAGTTGAAATAGAAGAGGTGAAATAATGGCAGAATCCTAGTTGTAGATAATAGCAAAGGCTAGGGTATGGCCTGGGGAAGTGAATGGTTAAAGTGAATGGGGCAGTAGGGGAGCAGGGGAGCAAACAAGAACATTGGCAGAAGAGTTCAAGGAACTGAGAGGCCAAGGTATCGGAAGTGTCATCCATGTCCCCAAGAATTAGGTCACAAGTAGATTTTCTGAGAGTAATAGCCATCCAATGATAGAAATCTTCAAAGAAAGTGGATTGCAAGAGGAAGAGGTAATGGATGAAATAATACAATGGCAGTCATTTTACTGTGGAGTTGTGTCAGGGAAAAAATAGGGAGAAAGGTCCAGAGGTGGCAGTGAAGAGCCAGAAAGACCTTCCCTACTCCAGGCACAAAGAAAATAGAGGCTGTGGCAGAACTTGAAAGAGCTGCAAGGGAAGCAGTGTGCTCATAGGAAGCCATTTTTGAGTTAGAATGTTTGGACCTACCAAAGATAGAGTATAGTATTCATTCTATAGTATAGTATTCATATAGTATTCATATGTTGAGCTTCATTTATAGCTCAACATATCCTGAAAAAATTATGAAGTCCCTACCAATCCACCATTGTACAACATAGTATCTGAATTCAAAGCATTCTACCCCATATAACAATAAGAGTTTGCTTGATGGAAAACTTTTTATAAGAAACTTATTAGCTCATGTACTAGAAAGAAACAGATTCTCAGAAGAGAAGAGATGGTGGTGAAATTATGTGTTTACCCCATTAGATAAGACTGGAAGCCTGCTTTAGAACCTGATAAAATATCCAGCACTAATTGCTACAAACTTCCCAAAATGTCTGAAAATTTGAGGAATAGGTAAAACAAATGGGGGGAGGGGGGGAGTAGACTAGAGGATAGGATTTCATTCACCCAATTCTTCCGTGTCTCAGTAGATCAGTAGGTCTTCAAATGTCCCTGGACCAGAGTAAGAAACTGTTGAAATGCAGATTCTCTCAGGACCTGCATTAGACTTAATGAATCAGCAAGTCTGGGGATAGGGTCCAGATACCTGTGTTTTTACAGATGTTTCTAATGCCACTAAAATTTAAAAAACACTGTAGTAGAGGACAGTCCCTACTCTTGGAGCCACCAATTCAGCAAATGTTCGAGTAGTAACAAATTGTTAAAGATGTTTTGGAATTCTAAAATAATGGATCAGAGGAAGCCCAGGATGAGGTAGAGGAATCTTTGCAACAGGGTAAGAATGGAACTGACCAAGGATTTCTCCATACTGTAGAAATGACATTTGACAAGTACTGTTTGATTGTCTTGCCTTTCTAATGCAAGAAAGGAGGGCTATATCTCATTCAAAAATTCTTAGTCTTTGCTTTTAGAATAAGGTACTCCTTCAATATTCGGAGACTGTTACTCTGGAACTAAGACGCTAGATCAATTCTTTTCCAACCTGAGAATTTCCTGTAGACTGACTTTCAAGACTCCTTTTGATTCTGCTGGGCATTCAGTGAAGGCAAATGTTGTCAGGTTTACACTGGGGTTAGGAAATTCAGTTTTTCCCACTTACAAATCTGATGAAGAAACCACAAAAAAGATAGGAGGATTAGGAGGAACTTGACGGAGGAACAAGGGGGAGAAGAAGGGGGGAAATGGTGGGGGAAAGGGAGAGAGGCAAACCATGAGAGACTCTTGAATGCTGACAAAAACTGAGGACTGATGGATGTGGGGGGGAGGGGGGGATGGGCATGGAGGAGGACACTAGTGGGGATGAGCACTGAGTGTTATGTGGAAACTAATTTGACAATAAACTATTTGTAAAAAAAAAAAAAAAGATAACCATTTAATTCTACCTTTTCTGTCTGAAAACAAAGAATGTTTTATTATTTTTATGCCAGTTATCATAAAGGTAATATTTTACTTCAGGGAGATTGAAATTATTTCTGTTTAGGGGCACCTGGGTGGCTTAGTCAGTTAAGCGTCTGACTTTGGCTTAGATCATGATCTCGCGGTTCGTGGGTTTGAGCCCCGTGTCAGGCTCTGTGCTGACTGCCAACTCAGAGCCTGGAGCCCATTTCAGAGTCTGTGTCTCCCTCTCTCTCTGACCCTCCACTGCTCACGCTGTCTCTCTCTCTCTCTCTCCTAGAAATAAATAAAAATATTTAAAAAAAAAGAAATTGTTTCTGTTTAATATATATGTACCTGTATATAGTATGTATGTATTTTTTTAAACTCTGTAATGACATAGAACAGATATATACACACATATACCATATTAACTGCAACTCTTCTGTTAACTATGTAACTTTAAGCTGATGAGCTCATCTAGAGCAAGAAGCAATAGGGGTGCCTGGGTGGCTCAGTCTGTTAAACGTCTGACTCTTGGTTGCAGCTCAGGTCATGATCTCACGGTTCAGTTCTTGAGTTGGAGCCCTGCATCAGGCTCTGGCCAGACAGCACAGATCCTGCTTGGGATTCTCTACTTCTTTTTCTCTCTCTTTCTCTGTTCCTCTCCCTTCTCTCTCTCAAGATAAATAAATAAACTAAAGAAAGAAAGAAGCAATAAAGTCAGCCATTATATCATTTTTTTGTTAAAATTATAAAGTGCTCTTAAATTGATAGGTATGTGAAAAATATAGTATTTTCGGTATCAACTTATGCTTGCAGCTTTCATTCATTGACTAAAGGTAAATATCTTTATAGTCTTCTAAGTTTTTTTTTACACTTAAGACTGTAAACTGTATATTTAAAGTATGATCATTTGTAATGATGGTTCAAATATGTTTTAGTATAGCATCTAAGTATTTTTATGTTTTACAATAAATTAATAGGAAAATACTGGATTGATCCAAATCTTGGATGCCCTTCAGATGCAATTGAGGTTTTCTGCAATTTCAGTGCTGGTGGTCAGACATGTTTATCTCCTGTTTCTGTAACAAAGGTATGTATTGAACTGTAGAACACAGGCTGGTACTTGCCCAGTTTCAGGCAACATAATTTTTAAAGTTCTGTCACTTTAAATAATTATGAATTTTTGAGTGGAAGCAAGATATCATTCTCTACCATATACAAGAAATGTTTTGTTTTTAAAAAATAATTCTAGTGAATCTTGACATTTTGATGGTGTCTTTTATGATTGCCGTATCATGGCTTACTCTACTGATTATGCTTTTTAGATTTCCTTTTAAAAATGTGGAACATGTTTTTATGCATGCATTTACATTGGAAAATCCTCAAACAGTGTTTGTAATTAGTAATCAGTTCCCTAACGTTTTTCTGAAAATGACGTCATTGAAAGAGGAATTTTGCCACAAAGCTTACTCATTTTGGTGATTTGGCACAAAAGAACCTGCCTTAAACATCCATTGACTATTATTTAAAATTTCTTTCAAGTATAGTAGAATGAATGAAAGTTAGCTTGGTATGCTACTGGGGACTATAACAAGGATCTATAAAACCTAAAGCTTAGTTCTACCCATAACATGTACTGAAGAAATCAAAACTGCATTGCTTTCTTTTTCTGGTTAAACCAGTTTGGTATTATTACCAAGAACTGATTTCTCTTTTTTTTATTTTATTTTATTTTTATTTTATTTTATTTTTTTTACAAATAGTTTATTGTCAAATTAGTTTCCACATAACACTCAGTGCTCATCCCCACAAGTGTCCTCCTCCATGCCCATCCCCCTTCCCCCCCACATCCATCAGTCCTCAGTTTTTGACAGCATTCAAGAGTCTCTCATGGTTTGCCTCTCTCCCTTTCCCCCACCATTTCCCCCCTTCTTCTCCCCCTTGTTCCTCCGTCAAGTTCCTCCTAATCCTCCTATACATGCAAACATACGATATTTGTCCTTCTCTGCCTGACTTATTTCGCTCAGCATAACACCCTCAAGGTCCATCCATGTTGCTACACAGGGCCAGATTTCATTGTTTCTCATTGCCATGTAGTATTCCATGGTATAGATAAACCACATCTTCTTGATCCATTCATCTGTTGATGGACACGTAGGCTCTTTCTATGTTTTAGCTATTGTGGAGAGTGCTGCTATGAACATTGGGGTACATGTGCTCCTATGCAAGAACTGATTTCTCATTGACAAAGAATGGATACACCTGCCATTGTATGTTTGGTCCATCATAAAGAGGCAGCAACTAAGATGTCAGTCTGTTAATCTCTCTGCGCTGCTTATTGTTAGACTGCCCTGTCCTGAAATATGCCTCTCCATTAACCAGGATGTTTCATCAGTTCATCTCAGTAGGTATTCTCCATTAATATCCTCAAAGCAGAGGAAGGAGAGAGTCTTCCATTTGTAGGAAATCCATGTTCCTCTGATGAAGATCAGCATGATAGTCTTACTTCCAAAATATCTGCATGGTCATACTCACTCTCCTCGATTTGGCCCAGAAGTTTTATTTGGATTATCATAGAAGGAAGATGGAGACTGGGAGGGGTGTGCAAATGAGACAGGAGTGGTGAAGGAGCTGCGCTCCAATTCCTTCCTTGACTGACTCAGCTCTTCCATCTCTATCCGTGAACTCAACCTGAGAAAGACTGGGCAGGTAGTGGAAAGAATGGTAGACTTGGAATCAGAGACTTTGGAATCAGGGTTCTAGTTTCTATTCCTCTACTAACCTGGCAAATGGCACTCTGAGCCACCAAAGAGCCTGTGCCAGCGCTGTGCTAGGTAAGTGACTTGTGGCTCCTTAAGTCCTTATAACCGTGACATATCAGCGTCATACTCTACCAACGAAGAAACTAAGTCTCAGGAAGGTTAAGTAGCTTATAGGTTTGTGATTCTTAACCTGTAAAATAAAGGAAACTGAACTACTTAAACTCTGATGTTCCTTATGATGATCCTTCCATGTTTTCATGCTCACTGACTTTCTTTGTCTTTCTTCTCTTTTCCTTTTCCTTTTTTGATTGTTGTTGTTTTATTTTTTTTCTTTCTCGGTTACCTCATAACTGATACTTTTCTAATTTCATGTTTGAAAATTAATATAAATTCCTTATAGAAACCATTTTTGTTTACTTATGTTATGACCATACCCCTGCTTAAATACTGCTAAAATAATAATAATATCGAAAGCTATAGAAATATCTGTTTCCTTGTCCAAGCCTGGGAAATATGCAATTAGACCTCCTTGCTACAATATTGCTCTATATTGTTGAATTTATTATTAATATTGTTCATGAATTCATTCATTTCAATAAACATTTATTGATGATTTGCTCTATGACTGGAGTGGCATTAGGGGCCGGCAACACAAAGAATGAGATTCTATCCTGATCCTTAAAGGCTCTCATAGTTAAAATTACTCAACAAGTTATTATTGCAACTTCTAACTTATCTTTGGAAACTCAAAAAAAAATCTTCAAAGGAAAGTATACACAATTTCAGATTTTTGTGGAAAAATCATTAATCAACTAATTATTAATGAATTTTAGATAACATTATAAAAATTACCTTCATTTTCTTTTTGTCGTATCTAGTAGCTTAATGGTATGCTACAGCCGGCTCACACAGACTCAGGAGAGCCTATTGTTCACATCTCTTTCCAATTCCATGTTCAGTGACACCACAGTGATAACCTGAAATCGGGCACGGTAGCAGTGTTTACACCATGGAAATCAGAAAATGCTGTAAATCAGGGATTCCCAACCCACCCCTGCAAAAGCCAGTGGTTCAGTCACATACTGTTGACTGGCATTTAAATGCCAAGGAAAGTAGTTTTCTCAAGGCTTCATTCCAAGAACTTTGCTCAAATTCCCCTGAATTATAAGTTTCTCGATTGCCACGTCTTATTAACCTGTATATTGTTTCTATGAAATTAGTTGGAGTTTGGAGTTGGAAAAGTCCAGATGAACTTCCTTCACTTACTGAGCTCAGAAGCCACCCATATCATCACCATACACTGTCTAAACACACCAGTGTGGACAAGCGCTCGATCAAGTGGCTCAGGATTACCTGTTGGCTTCAAGGGATGGAATGGCCAGATTTTTGAAGAAAACACTCTACTTGAACCTAAGGTGCTTTCAGATGAATGCAAGGTAAGGGATGGCCCTTTTAGAATTGTTCAATATAACTAACATAAGATTGATAATACCATGAAATTAAAATAACAGGAATAAGACTTTAATTGTAAACTGAAGATCCAGAAGTGTAGGAAGTTTTAAAGTGCCCAAATAAAATCACGTTTTTGAGAATCAAGCCTTTGCTTATATTATATCTTGTCAACTTTTGTCACATCCATTGATCATCCATGGATTTTTATATACAAAATAGGTGTTAATACATAGATTTCATTTTTCCTTATATTGAATAAATAATTATATTACACCTAATTGGATAGAGCATATACATCACTTCATATATTTTCACCACTGTAATTCTACTTCTCATTATTTCATGAAAGACAGGTTATAGAGGCAAGTCAGTTGTATTTCATTTTGTCACTCGCTATACCTGTTACCAAATGTGGGCAGACTTGCAGATTGGCTGCCCCTACTAAAATAGGTGTTCAAATCAATATTTGAATCATAGCCCATTGTTCCTACTAAAATTCAATAACAAATATTATGAAAAATCTATAATTTTAAAAGATGTGTTATATAGCAGGTATCAGCCAACTACAGTCCACAGACCAACTCCAGCTCACCACCAGTTTTCATAAATAAATGTTATTAGAACACAGCCACATATATTTGTTTACTTATTTTTTTAAATCTTTTTAAAATGTGTATTTATTTTTGAGAGAGAGAAAGACAGAATGTGAGCAAGGGAGGGGCAGAGAGAGAGGGAGACACAGATACAGAATCTGAAGCTGTCTGAGCTGACAGCAAAGAGCCTGATAACAGGCTTGACTCACAGACCACAAGATCATGACCTGAGCCAGAGTCGGCTGCTCAACCGACTGAGCTACCCAGGTACCCCTGTTCATTTACTTATTACCTATGTCTGTTATCACACTGTGATGGCAGTTAAATAAATGTGACAGATTCTATGGTGCACAAAACCTAAAGCCTTTATTAGCCCTTTACAGAAGAGTTTCCTGACCCTGTTATAGAGAATAGCATCCACTTTTCATACTTATCATTAATGACTTTAAGTAGCTTGGTTTCTTTTTCTTGTGTACTATGAAGATGGTGCCTTAGATTTATTTCTTTTTTTGTTTGTTTGTTTTTAATGTTTTTTATTTATTTCTGAGAGAGAGAGAGAGAGACAGCGTGAGCAGGGGAGGGTCAGAGAGAGAGGGAGACACAGAATCTGAAACAGGCTCCAGGCTCTGAGCTAGCTGTCAGCACAGAGCCCAACATGGCTCGAACCCACAAACCGTGAGATCATGACCTGAGCTGAAGTCAGATGCTTAACTGACTAAGCCCCCAGGAGCCCCTGAAGCTGGTGACTTAACATCTCTTACCATTTTCAGGGGACTCTACTTTTTCACATTTTATTTTTGGACAAAGAGTGCTTGAGTATTTGAAAAATAAGAGGCAAACAGAAACATACAGCTTATCTTTACAAGCAGAGATCAACATTACCAACAAATTCATTTAACTTTTACAATTTTTCTCAGAAACTTTCAGTGACTCACTACTATCTCTGAGATACAATCCAAACTTATCAGCTCTTCACTTAACACTTAGGACAGTCAGGCCCAACCTACATTTCTAGTTTTCATTGATTGTCAACCCAAAACTATGACCAAACTGGCCTAATAATAATAATAATAATAATACAACCCAAAACTATGACCAAACTGACCTATTAATAATAACACCACCACCACCACCACCACAACAACAATAATAACATCAATAATTCCTACTACTAGTTATTGGGCTTTATTATACAGCAAGTACCCTGTATTACATACATTATTTCATTTAATTATAACAGCTTTGTAAAGAAGTCTCACTTAATAAGAAAGTGAAGGCACAGAGAGGTTAAATAACTTGCTCAAGGTCATCCAGATAATTAGTGAAGAGTAGGAAATAAAGGCCAGGTGGGTATAACTCCGAAGCCTATGCCACACTATACTGGTAGGTGCTTTAATCGAAATCTCATTTAATCCTCACAACCTTATGAGGTTTTTATTTTTCACATTTTTATGTAAGGAGACTGGTGGTACCTGGATTTCTGTCAAAATCTGTTCCAGGCCAAAATCTGTGCATTAAAACCCCTCTCTAGGCTTATTTTTGCAACCATCTTCTACTTTTCCAACTTTTTTTTTTTTTTGTATGTTTGTTTTTACTCATGTTGTTACCTTTCTCTGAAATGCCTTCTCTACCGCTCTAACCAAGTGGCAACTTGAGGCATACTTGAAGGGCCATCTTAAATTCTGAATTCTGAACTCATGAAGCTTCCCCTGCGTACTTCAGTGGGAAATGAGAAATTTAGCACTCACTGTCTACATTATTTATATTGCACTTACTATGTATTGTCTTGTGTTGTCTCTGTTTGTGTTTCCCCTGTCCCCAACTAGATGTATAAGCTGCTAGTATTCAAACGCCAGAACTAATTAATTCATCTTCATACTTCTCAAGCACTGTAAGAAAATACAGGATTACGTCTTACTCAACTGTGCCAATTTTACTCAGTGTTCAATAAATATTGTTCGAAAGACTTAACGAGTTAATCTAATGATGTCTTACCCACAACTCTAGTTCTAGTTATCACCAAGCTGATGACTAGAACATGGAATTCATAGCTTAAATAAACTTTAAAGATCCTTCAAATTTTAAAATTGATACTATGCTAATTCTATAAATGAGTAAGTGAATAATCTTAATAAAAAGCTTCACAAAATTAGTCAATTGTGTTTCTCTATTTTGTCTTGTTGAAGCTTAATCATAAGATTTTTTTTTAATGTTTATTTATTTTTGAGAAAGAGAGAGAGACAGAATGTGAGCAGGGGAGGAGCAGAGAGAGAGAGAGAGAGACCAGAAACCGAAGCCGACTCCAGACTCTGAGCTGACAGCTCAGCGGGGTTTGAACCCACAAACTATGAGATCATGACCTGAGCCAAAGTCGGGCACTTAACCGACTGAGCCACCTATATACCCCAATCATAAGATGTTTTTGTTCCATAGTAGAATTTGTCAGAAACAAAAGAGCATATAGTATATAAGAAAAACAGGCCTAGAAAGAAGAGAGGAACGAAACGATATAAACAGTAACCACAGACTGGCAATAAAGAAACCTAAAAGGTGATTTACATAATTATAATTTACTTCTGACTGAAGCAATTCTGGTTATTTCCTGCCTAAAGTACAGAAAGGTTGAGATAGCTCATTGCCTTTCATCCAAAAAGAATGCCCATCCTGAAGAATCGGTCCCAAATAAGGGAACACAGAACAGATGGGTGTTACTTATATGAGGAATAGTACAGCCTTTGTACTGATCCAATGATCCACAGACAGCAGACGCAGAAGTCTTAGCCTCAGAGACTGAAAAATCAGAACACATACTGCCATTTAGAGAAAAGAATAAACCATGTTTTCAATTAGTCATAGTGATTGTTAACCACTGAGCACTTAACTCTGTACCAGCACTTACTTTCTAGGGACTTCCTCTTCATTAGCTCTAATCCTTAAACTAAGCCTCATTGTCTGACAGTGAAGGGCATTGTCTGCTGAGAATGATTGCTAATGACACAATTACCTATCATCAAAGCACTTTGTTCTTGTTTTACAGATTCAAGATGGCAGCTGGCATAAGGCAAAATTCCTTTTTCACACCCAGGACCCTAATCAGCTTCCAGTAGTTGAAGTACAAAAACTTCCTCATCTCAAAACTGAAAGGAAGTACTACATTGAAAGCAGTTCTGTATGCTTTCTCTAAGGTTTCTGAATTAGTTCAGAATTCTTGCTGTTGGCCAGGTAATTGCTACAGAGGGAAAAGTATAGACAGAAAGATACTATCATTGTGAAATGCATGAAATAAAGCATTGGCTAAATCTTAAAGAATCTCAGGAAGAAAAGATTTCCTCCTAAGAAGGAGAAAAGGCATTTTTAAAGGACTATAATTGATAAAGTATTTAATTCTTTTAAAAATTATATTGATCTGTGCTTTCTTAAGAGAATTCCCTAGAACTGAAAATTTATAAACATGGAATTCTTCAGGGTATCCTATATTTTTTGACTGAGAGCAACGTACCCATTAGACAGCTGGAGGTGCAGAGCACAATGGAGCAATACTGGCTAATGCTCCCAAATGTGCAATGCTTCTGTCTAAAAATTCTAAGCCACAGTCTAATATGTCTTATTTTCCCAAATACTAAGCTGTATTCAGGTCCCCAATGGGCATATACATCTTAGCCGGTGGTACACTACCTCTTACGTGTTGCCTTTTTGTGTTGCTTGGTGCTCTTCCTAAAACAGGTGCTTGTGGCTTTTTCATAGACTATTATATTTCTTTTTTCGTCTTTGTCATTCTTGAAGAGTGTATGTACTGGTTACATCAAGATATGTTTTGGTTGTTAGTACTTATTTTAATTTGTTTGATTACATACTTAATAACAAGTAAAACATTATTTATGTGAAGTCCTTGTTCTATTTTAAAATTCTCTTTGTGGATATAGAAGCAAAGCCAGCGCACTGTAACCTGTGCTTATGCACAAGAGAATTGGGAGGTTTCTTTTGTTTTTATTTTTTAAATTGTTGTAAAAAATATTACCAGCCAGCTACATCCAGTAGTAGGTTTGGGTTAGAGTTTGGGGTTGTGATATACTATTTTTAAAAATCCATGATCATCTGGAATGATACTATGTATATATATATTTTGTAAAGTTTTAATTCAGCAAATCTTTTGAAATTGCTGCTGTTTTAAATTATAAAAACCGTTATTTCTGCTTCATACGAATTATATGTCTTGTAGTATTCATTGACTTATTTCATTATTCTTAAATTTAATGTGTTGGGACCTAAAAGAATTCAATTTACCAGTCTTTAAAGCAACATTCAGGAAAAAAAAGTCTTTAGCCATTTAAAATAGGCTCAGCTCATTCAGACTTTCCTTTTTGTCAGAGAAATGTTAGATCAGTATTAAAAGAAAAATATTATACCTTTTGGTATATAGAAAAGCTTATACATCCATTATAAACATATCTTTAGCCACAGCAATCCATACTTACCTATCTATAATAAAAAAAATATGCTTTAAATCTTTTCTGGTGGTATTTGTTTTTCTTCTTTTGTGACCACATCCTTTTTTTATTTCAAGTTTATTTATTTATTTATTTTTTAATATGTTTTATTTATTTCTAGGAGAGAGAGAGAGACAGCGTAGCAGGGGAAGGTCAGAGAGAGAGGGAGATACAGACTCTGAAATTGGCTCCAGGCTCTGAGCTGGCAGTCAGCACAGAGCCCGACACGGGACTCGAACCCATGAACCGTGAGATCATGACCTAAGCGAAAGTCGGACGCTTAACCGACTAAGCCACCCAGGCGCCCTCTTTTTTTTTTTTTTTTTTTTTAAAGCTTGTTTGTTTTTGTGAAAAAGAGTGCTCACAAGCCAGGGAGGAGCAGGGAGAGAGATTCCCAAACAGGCCCTGAGCTGTGAGCACACAGCTCGATGCAAGGCTCAATCTCACAAACCATGAGGTCATGACCTAAGCTGAAATGAAGAGTCAGATGCTCAGCCAACTGAGCCACCTAGGCACTCCCATGTCATTCTTGGTTTATTTATTTAATTTGAGATGGGGAGGAACAGAGAGAGAAGGAAAGAGAGATCATCTTAAGCAGGCTCCCAGTGCAGAGCCTGACATGGGGCTCAAACTCACAAACCATGAGATCTTGCCCTGAGCCAAAACCAAGAGTCAGACGTTTAACCTAATAAGCCATGCAGGAGTGCTCGCTTCGGCAGCACATATACTAAAATAAGCCATGCAGGCACCCCAACTATATCCTTTTATTGTGTATGATGACCCTCTGGCATAGTCCTTCTGTACATTTACAAAATTAGAAAGCATCTATTACATACCTATAAGAGGATTATAGTTTCTATTTCCTACTTGTACAAAATGAAGCCATGACATAGAACAAACTCTCTCATATATGGTCAACTGATTTTCAACGAAGGTGCCAAGACCATTCAATGGGAAAAGGACAGTTTTTCAACAAATGGTGCTGGGAAAATTGGATATCCACATGCAAAAGAATGAAGTTGGACCCTTATTTGGTATCATATAGAAAACTTAACTCAAAATGTATCAAAGCCCTAAATGTAAGAGACAAAACTATTGAACACTTAGGAGAAAACACAGGGGAAAGGCTTCACGGCATTGGATTTAGCAATGACTTCTCGGAGGTGACACTAAAAGCACTTTCAAAAAAAAAGGAAAAGATAAATTGGACTACATCAATATTAAGAACTTCTGTACATCAAAGGCACTATCAACAGAGTGAAAAGACATCCCACAGAGTGGGAGGAAATATGTGCAAAATATGTATCTGAAAAGGAATCAATACCTCCAGATATATTTTTTTAAAACTACTGCAACTCAAAAAACAAGCAATCCACTTGGAAAATGGGCAAAGGACTTAACAAACATTTCTCTAAAACAGATATATAAATGGCCAACAAATGAAAAGATGCTCAACATCACTAGTTATTAGGAAAATGCAAATCAAAACCAGAGTTAGATACCACTTCACACTCATTATGATGGCTATTATCCAAAAGAAAAAAAAGGAAAATAACAAGTGTTGGTGAGGATGTGAAGAAAGTAGAACCCTTATACATTGCTGGTGGGAATGTAAAATGGTACAACTATTGTGGGAAAAAGCTTGGCAGTTTCTCAAAAGTTAAACATAGAGTTACCATGTGACTCAGTAATTCTACTTTGTATATTTACCCAAAAGAATGGAAAGAAGGGACTCAAATGAATATTTGTACACAAGTGTTCATAGAGGCGTTATTCAGAATAGCCAAAAGATGGAAATAACCCAAATGTGCATCAACAGATGAACTGATAAAAAAATTTGGTATGCACATACAATGGAACACAACAATATGAATGTACTTGACGCAACTAAGCTGTACACTTAAAATGATTTAAAATGACCAATGTTATGTTGTGCATTTTTACCACAATTTTTTTTAATGGGGCTATGGCAAAAATGTCTGATACCTTGCTTGAGGAACATGGAAATGTTTTTGTTTTGTTTTGTTTTTTAAGTTTATTTTGAGAGAGACAGAGAGTGAGCATGCGCAAGGGGCAGAAAGAGAGGGAAGGTGAGAGAGAGAATCCTAAGCAGATTCCACATTGGCAGCACAGTGCCCAATGCAGGGCTTGAATTCACGAACCATGAGATCATAACCTGAGCTGAAATCAAGAGTCAGATGCTTAACTAATTGAGCCATCCAGGTGGCCCAGAAAGGTTTGTTTTAAAGGAGCAGAGGCAGGTTGATTCCAAATGAAGGAAACCAGAGTTTATACTCTAATTTCAGTCTCTGTGCTATACTTTTTGTTTCTCTCCCAATAAAACATTTCAGAGACATAAGTAGTTTTCCTAGATATCATTTAAGCAATATATATATATATATATATATATATATATATATATATATAACAGAAATACCTTACTTTCTGGGGGTTTTTTGGATTTTGAAATAGTAAATTTAAAGCACATCTTAATGTAATTATGGGCATTATATAGTATGTATAGTGATTAAGAGTACTCTTTGGATTAGTTATGTGACTTTTATATTCTTCATTGCTTCAGTTTCTTCACTTCAAAATGAGGATAATAAAAGTAAAAATCTGTATGAGTCAGGGTACTTAGAGAAACAGAATCAGTGGGAGATACAGATATAAATAGAGATACAGATTTCATATATAATATACATGTAATATCATTATATATGTATAATATATAAAATATCTTTATATTTTTAATGGAAATTTACTATGATGAATTGGCTTACACAATTATGGAAGCTAAGAATTCCCACAATCTGCCACCTGTAAACTAGAGACCCAAGAAGGCCACTGATGCAATTCAGTTAGGTCCAAAGGCCAGAGAACCAGGGGAGCCAATGGCTTAACATCTGGTCTGGCGGCTGGAGAAGATGAGATGTCCCAATGCAAGCAGGCAGACAAAGCAAAAAGGAACAAATTCTTCCTTACTCTGGCTTTTGTTTGATTCAGGCCTTCAGTGGATTGCATGGTGCCCACTCACTGTGGTAGAGGGATAGTTTACTAAATCCACTGGTTCAAGGACTAATCTCATCGAGAAATACCTTCACAGACACACCCAGAAATAGTTTTTTTAAATGGGCATCTATGGCCAGTCAAATTGATACTCAAAAATTAACTATCACATTTTCTCACTTGGTGGTTGAGTGGATTCAAGAAATTAACATGGGGGAGTATAAACCTGCCTGGCACAACGTAACCAATCACTCTGTAAATATTAGCTGCTGCTATTGTCTTCATCAGCTTTGCCATCATCATCAACAACATCATTAAAGATTTACGAGTTCCATGATAAGCTCCATGACAGTTTTCACCAAAGGATGTTGTGGTGAATTCCTTAATAAAATTATTCATCTGTTTTAAAGCCATGCCATCCCCATAGTTTGTTTTATGACAGTACATTTTATATTTTTATAATATATGTTAAATATAAAGGCTTTCTAGAAATAAGGTGCAACTGTAACAGTATATAATTACAAAAGGTGCTTTCCTTCTCCCCATTTGTATATATTAATGTAGGCATTACGGTGGTCATTATAGGTAAATATCACAAATCTCTTTATAATATAAAACCAGAGCAGCAGAGCATTGATTTAGCTGCATAAAACCTGAATTCAGTTCTAACCCTCTCCCTTACTGGTTTCGAATACTAAATTTCTCTGTTTCCTTGTCTATATTGGGCAAATTTGTTTTTGTCTGCTTCTTCTAGTTATAGAAGTTACTATATAGTAACTAACTATATAGTTATTATATATAGTCATATAGTACATGCCTGTTCCTCCTTTCACCTCCCACATTTTTGCCTTATACTTGTAATTAGTTGCGTTCAAATTTACCATAGCTTTACCCAGAGGTATGCTGGCAAATGTCTAGCTCTCTAGAGTGGAAAGAGAAACAATCCTTACTTTACAGTGTTAGCCAATTTTTATGGTGTAAATGCTTGGGACCAGACCAATTTTGTATTGTTGTTAGTGTCTACATGGTATATCTTTCTTCATCTTTTTATTTTTAACCTCTCTGTATCTTTTTGTTTAGGCATATCTCTTATACTCAGCATATGGTTATATTTTTGTTTATTTTTAATCTATTTTGAGAATTCTAGGCTTTTAATCGGAGTATTTAGTCTGTTCAGTTAATGTAATTACTGTTATATTTGCATTTAAACTTGGCATTTTACTATTCTTTTATATTTGTCTCACCTCTAATTTGTTTTTTCCTTCTTTCTTTCCCTCCTTTGGATTGGTAAA